AGCTGTTTTGTGATCTACACACATACACATACTAAATAAATGTAATTTTAAAAATTAGAAAAAGAAGGGGGTGCTGAAGAACAGTTCAGTGGTTAAGAGTTCTAACTGCTCTTACAGAGGACTCAATTCAGTTCCCAGCACCCATGTCAGGTAGCTCACAACTACCTGTAACTCCAGTTCGAAGGGATCTTATGCTTTTCTCTGGCCTCAGGGCACCTAGACACCCACATACATATGGCATATATTCACACAGATGCACACACGAACACATAATTTTTTTCTAAAAGCCAATTGTGGTGACACACACAAATACATAGGCAGAGGCAGGAGAGTCATGAATTCCAGGCCATCCTGGGCTATACCTTTGGGCTGGCAAGATGGTTCAGTGGGTGAAGGCACCTGCTGCCCAAGCCTGACAACCTGAGTTCAATCCCCAGTACCTACTTATCGGAAGGAAAGAACCAACTCCTTCAGGTTGTCCTCTGACCTCCCCACATCCATCATGGCATGCATACCCACTCATATACACACAAAAATAAATAAATATAAATAAATAAATACATAAATACATAAATACATAAATACATAAATAAATAAATAAATAAATAAATAAAATGTAACTTAAGGAGCAAAATACATGAGACATTTTCAACTTCTTGACCTCCCATGAATCCAAAGTGAAAAGATGCTATGGTGTTCCTGTGGCTGTGTACAAGAAGTAGAATGGGCATGCACATATTCCTCCTTTAGTTGGCAGCATAACATTTATATTCCGTTTAAGAAGTATCAGGTAACAGATCTTGGTGGGAAGTGGAAGTAACACTGCTATTGTCCCTAGCCTCATAGAAGTGATAGCCATCCCCTGGTAATCATGGGAGATTTATTTTTGGACCCCTTGTTAATGCTACAATCATCAGCTGACCGAGTCTCTCATATAAAATCCCATATGGAACTGGAGACCTGGCTCAGTCAGTAAAGTTCTTTCCATGCAAGCATGAAGACCAGAGTTTAGATACCCAGTTTCTTAAATAAATAAATAAATATCCTTATATTTACAGGCTAATATCCCAGTCACCACTCATCAAAGAAGCTCATTTTGCACCAGAGACTGTTACCAAGTACAAATGGTCACACATGGACATTGTCTATGAATTACCCAGGCCTAAGTGACACATCCACAATGCAACCTCTACACCTAAGGCTCATGTAAGATAGAAGGGGGGTAAAGAAGAGGACACTAATGAGTCTATCAGTTCTCAATAATGAAGCTCCCTCATTCAGCAGAGGGCCAGGAACAGAAAAGGTCACAAATGGCCAAAGCATAGAGATCAAGAATCTGCTGAATAATAGTCCTTAGGCAGGACTCCTTTGTTAAACATCACCCACCCAAGGCTCAGGGACCATCGTTGGAGAGGGGGCAGAAAGATTGTAAGTGCCAGGGAGGAGATGTATGACCATACAGAAACAGAGTCTTAAAAGCTTCTGGGGACCTGCTCATATGATTCTATGGCAATGGTGTCAACATATACAAGTCAGGCAAATTCAGGCAGACAAAAACCTAGCATAGAACTGGGAATATGAATAGCAGACCACAATCTTATCTGAAGAAATATTGACAGCTGATTGCTGCTAGGTGAAGAAGAGCTGATCTTCCTAAAACAAAGAACTCTAGATAGGATGACTAGACTTCAGTGGATGGACTTGCACTTAGGAACAACTGGGGACACTGACAATACAGTGGGCCCTAACAGGGATGACAGAGTATATGGGTTCCAGTTGGGGGACTATGGGAGGGTGCCAGTAGAGACAAGGGTATAAAGATGATAGATTGTTTGAGATGTTCTGTATGAAATACACAAAAAAATTAATAAAAACAAATTTTAAATAAATAAATAATTTAAAAACCAGCATGGCCATGCACATCTGTAGCCCTAGCATAAGAAGGACAGAGACAGTGGATATACAGAGTTCTCTGGCCACCCAGTGTAGCCAAGCAGTGAGCCCCATGTTCAATGAGAAATCCTGTCTTAAGAGATTAGGGTGAGAGCAGTGCCGAAAGACATCCAACATCCACATCTGGCCTTCACAGGCATCTGCCAGACATGTACACTACATCTAAAATATAAATACACAGCATTTGCATATAACCTATGCATAATCTCTCATATTTTAGAAATATCTAATACTTAAAATGCCTAATATGATGTATATAATTTGTGCACTATTGTTTAGGGACTCATGACCAAGAAAAACATCTGTGCATGCTCAGTACCAATGTAATTTTTCAAAGTTTTGATCCACAGTTGTTTGAATTCAGGATGCAGACTCTATGGCCACAGAGAGCTGGCTGTACACTAGTTGAGGCAAAACATGGAAAGGAATGAGAGCTGTGCTGAGTGTGAGTGTGCTGAGGACACTGGAGCCAGCCTCAGACTTATAGGAGAACATTGACACTAAATTAACATGAAGGCACAAAAAAGATCATTCTAAGTAGAGGGAAAAAATCCAAACAAACGCCCAAAATTGGAAACAACATATTTTGTTCAAAAGAAAGTACATGCATTACCAAAGTGGTATGTGCCAAAGGATGCTAAGAGATGACGTTGAAGAAATAAAACTGTCCCATTGGAAAGGACTTTGCTAATGGTTTGTCACATGGCCATGGGTACCATGTGCCTTACACTATGGAACCCAAACCCCAGGAATAGTCAGGGTTACTGTAACCCAGCTTCTCAGAGGATCAGTTGCAAAGTAGACATACTCAATATAACCTTTGCAAATTTTGAAAAAAAAATCCATCCTTAGAGTTGCCTTAAAGGAAGAGTGTGAGATGTTGCATCGATGGCTCTTATGCTCAGCAGTGACCTGGATCACTCAGTTAAACTGGCAACCATGGAGGGAACGGATGTGAGGAATGACTAGAAACCAACCAGAAAGCCAGATTGGAGGTAGGTGGTTTTCAGGAAAGAGATGACAAGTAGCTAGCACACAGGACTACAAGTGAAAAATGGCAACACATCTGAGGACTAAGCAGAGGTGAGATCGAAGTAGAGTACAAGTAAAAGAAAAGATGGTCAGGAAAAAGAGAAGGGTCAAGGATAAGCAAGTCAGGGTTCAGGCTTAGAAGGCTGCATGAGCAGTGACACTATTCAAAGAAGGTGGAGTGTGCAGCACACGATACAAAGTGAGATCATGACTTCAGCTCTGAGCATAGGGATTGGTCCGTGCCAATAACACCTCCAAGAAAAGAGGCTCAGAATTCATCCCAGTGGTCTTCTCTGACCTTACTTGCAAAAAATAGCAAGCATTTGCAAGGTGATTAGAACTGGGAGGGCAATTTTTCTTTGTTTCCTTTCTGATCTTCAGTGACCATCTCTAGAATTTATGCTTGGTCTGACGTTGGTTCCTCCACTGTGTTCTGTGACGCCTGCCAACATGTCAACACCTACAACACAGAAGTCACTGTCCAAATGCGGTAACCTTAGGGAAGCATTGACCCACCAGTCCTTCATAGGTCCCTGATTTTCTGACCTTTCCAGTAACAACACTGTGAGTTACTGACAATAGATACTGCTTGCAAATAAGTAACCTGGAAGAAAAGTCATTGTTGTTTTATTCCTCAATCCTTCGGTTTTCTGAGTGCCTAATTCTGAATTTTATTTCAATTTCAGCTATTTTTGTTTTCACAATTTCAAAGTAGCTCCTGGCCTCCTAATTGTAATAAAAACAGGCACTGTTCTCAGGTGGGGAATGAACATCAGAAACAGATGAACTCATAAGACAAAAAAATCTTATGTCCTTATCCTCCTGTTTTCATGCAAATGTCCCCAGTAATTAAATCAGGAAAAGAAAATGTAGCAAAAACATATCAGCCAAATGGTTTAAAAATTTCAAAAGAAGCTGTAAATATGGTCCTTTTTAGAAGATCAGGTTCTAACTAGAGTAGGAGAAAGGGTAACAGTTGTTCTGATGAAGCAGTTTTTAAATTCTTGTCAGTGATTTAAAGGGAGATAACTGATGTATGTTAAAGAAGCTGGCAAGATTTTTAAATAGTTCGGACGCTACAGGGAGCATTTTTTTCCTTAAAGCAATGTACTAAAAAGTGTTGGCAAGATTTTGTTTGAATGTAGCAGTGCTTATGTGAGGAAGTTATTTTGAATTACCCTAGTATAAATATGTATGACTTTATTTGTATTGAAAATTCCCTTTGCAAGTGAGTGAATAAGGGACTGTTATATCTCTGTTAGTCTGAAAATGATTTAGTATTTCATTTCGAAAATAAAATATCATGCCCAGAATTCAAAAGTAGTATAATTCTGTTTGTGCCACAGGTGATTTTTGTACCTACATTAACACCCTTTAACTTTCATTTGCCATGAAGAATAATTAGCATCAATTGTCTGAAGTCTCTTACATTCATATACATGAACATCATTAGTTCATCTGGTCCTTCTTAGGTACCAAGTTCTGTCCTAGGCACTCAGCAGACAGCAGTAGTATTAAAGTGTTGTTCATCGACCATGCTTTAGACAATACTTTAATTCAGGCAATTTTCTGTATCACAGTAGAAATTTTAAATCCTAGAGTCATAATATTCAAAAGCTAAACTTATTGAAGACTTTGGACAAGACTAGCATTAAAAGCTAGTGTTCCTTTAAATACAAAGTATCAAAACAAAGGTGAGATGAAGTGGAAAATGCTGCCTGAAGCAGAAAGGAAGCAGGAGGAGACCGACCGGGGAGGGTATTGGAGAAAGCACTGTATTCTAACTTTCCCCTTTCATACCTTTGAGCAACAAGTTGCTAGAGCTCTGCATAAAAATAAAGCTTGAGCAGGAAAATCATGCAGCCTTTAGATAATGGAGGCTGTCAATTGTCTTAAAGGAGGGAAAACAAAACAAAAATAAGTTTTCCCTTCTTCTGTCCTGGTATAGTGTCAGAAGGAGGAAAATCAATTATCCTAAATTAGTACCTCACACTCACCCTCCAAGCAAACCTTACCTGTAGTACTCAGATCCATTCTCTTCTTGATTCCTTTCCTTGTTCATAAAAACATTTGTGAAATCTGAGTTTATTTACTTAAAAGTAAGGCACAGAAAAGCTCACCAAAGCCATGTCAAGAATAAGACAAATAAGTGCACACCAGTCTGCATTTAATACTTCCATTTTTCAGGCTGCCTACCTATAAAATAAGAAATAAAACAGTGTATGTGACATGACAGTGCAGCATTTATCAAGTTCAGAACTTTTTCCAAAGAGGGTTGATCATGTCTAAGGATTCATTATTCCTTCCTGGTACCTTCACCTGCATTCATTTCAAGGTACAAGTTTGAAATACGTTACCAGTTTATATCCCTCCAAAGTTTCTTAGAATGAAAGAGTCTCCAAACAACAGCAAATGTTTTGTATGACAGGCACTGTCCCTGAGGCTTATGAAAAATGCCTCAGCGACTAATCACCTTTCTTTGCCAAATAAATTACTTTTTAGAGACCCTAAGTAAAGCAATGGCTTAAAGTTTTCCAAGTGAGGGATATGATATTTGCTTTAATATAATAAAAGCATGGCAGTACTTGACCCCAAATTCAAAGTCCATTTGAGTTCAAATGATATTTGTAAGCATATTTCCCTAAATCTGAATACTCACCTCAACCATGGAAGAATCCTCCCCAGTAGGAGCTAAGCTTCAAAATGATCACCTTTGTAGCTATCACAGCACTCTCGTGGACAGGTTTTCACTACACCATAAAAATAGAAAAAGATAGTAGATAGTAAGACAGATCAGGACTGTGTTGATTTCCCTAAACTGAAATTCCAAATTCTTAGCAGATGGATAAATTACATCTTAAATAAATGAAGAGTTAATATTTCTTTCTTGCTTTATAAAGCTAAATTTTTTGTGAACTATCAGCTTTGTTCTCTTTCTTTTCCAGAAGGGTACTGCTAGCTGTATGCCACAAACAATAGGTAGGCCAGTTTCCCTCAACCCAGGAAAATTTCTCCCTTTGCCACAGAAGCCTAACTTATGGTTCTAAGATGGCCAGGAAAAAAACTAATCGGAATGGCTTTTTTGCATGTGTAGCAAAGTTAGTTCCAGAGAAAGGAGCCTGGTTTGCACTGCAGCAGAATCCCCTCGAACAATATGCTCCCTGTGTCCACAGCCCAGGCCTCCCTTGACACCCTCCTTTCTAGGGCATAGGGTAGAAAAGTCACATACACAGTAGATCATGCCAGGACCTGCTGACACAACCCTGCTTCCAAATTTGCAGGCTGCAGAGTGAAGCACAGTTCACATTATGCACATGGTCTCACCTTTTTTCTTCAGTTTTCTTTTTTTTATTTATTATTTTTATTTTATGTTTATGTGTGTATTGCCTGCATGTAGGTAAGTGCACCCATGTCGTGCAATGCCTGCAGAGGTCAGAAGAGGCTGTTGGATCCCCTGGGACTGTAGTTACAGACAGTTGTTAGCTGCCATGTGAGTGCTGGGATTCAAACCCAGGTCTTCTGCAAGAACAGCCAGTGTTCTTAACTGCTGAGCCATCTCTACAGCCCCCCTTCTTCTTCTTCTTTTTTTTTTTTTTTTCCTTTTTGAAAATAGATGCTTCGGTATGGGGGGAGGGGTAATACAGGCCAACCTTCTCCAAGCTAGTCTATCCCTTTGGCCCTCCCCAACTTCATCCAGTAGTGGAAATTTTGGCAAGAGTAGGTAAAGAACTCTGAACACTATTAGGACCCTCTTCTTTCTACCTTGAACAAAACACTGACAGTTCTTGAGCATCCAAAGCTGGCTGGAAGGGTGCCTCCCCTAATGGCAGTATCAGCTACAGAGATGCTCCTTACCACTTACTATTGCAAGTGGAAGTGCAAAAAACATAACCAAATTTTAAGTGCAATCTTTCCTTTCTCCCTTTTGTAATTATTATTTTATGATACTAGGATTGAATACAGGACCTCCTGAAAATTAAATGAGTGCTGTATTACTGAGGCACATCTCAGCTCTCTTTTTACTTTTAATTTTGAGATGGGGATTTGCTAAATTGCCCAGGCAGACCTCAAACTTGTGATCCTCCTGCCTCAGCTTCCTGAGTGCTGAGATTACAGGCCTGAACCACCAGGCACAATTTAGTTACAGTTTTAAACTGCTGCTGTTAGTATCATGATGTTTATAATTATAAGCACCCTATTTTTTCTCTTATAAATTAAGAAATTCTATAAGATGATTATGTCTTGACATTATTGTCAGTAAACATTAATCTTTATAGAATTTGAGAACCAACTAAATAACTCCTAATAAAATCAGTAAAACAAATAGCAATGCATCATTATAAAGAATAAAATCACGTAAGCACCACCTAAAAAATATGTTATACTCACTCTGTATTTTCTTAATTTAGCTTCATATTTCTAGGTAATTCACAAATAAGAATTACTATTCATTGGCATGACTAGTTTGTGCCATTTCACATTTGTGATCATAATTTTCTACAACAACCAGCTAGAATCTATAGACTTTTTGCTCATTTCTAAAATGAAGTTCACAGGGTGAAATACTATCTTCTCAACATAAAATTAATACTCACAAAGCAAGGAGTCAAATCTGGTCAATTTAATTCCAAAACCTGTACATTTGAAGCCATAATTGGCTACCAATGAGGATAATATAAAGAAGCCGATGAAAATACACTGAGGTCCAACTTCTACTCAATAGTGCTAAAGGAAATAACATGAAGAATAAAAACTTAGGGGCAGGAGAGATAGCTCCGTGGTTAAGAGCACTGATTACTCTTACAGAGGAGTTGGATTCGATTCCCAGCACCCACATGGTGGCTAACAACAGTCCATAACTCCAGTTCTAGGGATCTGATGCCCTCTTCTGACCTCCGTGGACATTGTACAACACAGGTGCACTTACATATATGCAGGCAATATAATCATATGCATAAAATAAAATAACAAATAAAAACTATTCTGTGATACGTGTGGATGATGAAGTCTCCATCATTAATTAATCCATGCTTAATTAATCTGTGTTGGGGCCTGGGTAAAGTAGCAAAAGCCCTCTAGGGATCTATCCTGAGTAGGCTGCCCTGGAAAAGGCACTTTGGTCAGGAACCATACTTTGTCTAGAATCCAGAAGCACCAAAGCCAGAGAAAGTATTTGAAGACTTGAGACAATACAATAAGAAAGAAGAAAGAAAGAAAGAAAGAAAGAAAGAAAGAAAGAAAGAAAGAAAGAAAGAAAGAAAGAGGGAAGGAAGGAAGGAAGGAAGGAAGGAAGGAAGGAAGGAAGGAAGGGAGAGAAAAAAAAGAAAATGTACAACTATGTTGATCCAAAAGGCAGAATATGACCCTTGAAAACACAAGGGTCAACTGCAGCATCCAGGAGGACCAGAAGTAGGGCACAACACAGTATAGAAACAGTGGGCACAAATGGATCAGAAGGATGCCTGGAAAGGTAAGAAGATATTAGATGGTCACATGAACATGGCTTTGGCCATGAGGGTGGACTTAGCAAACTCAAATGCCTGTGAAGTGAGATGCTTAAAATATGGGTAAGTCATTGAGTCTCCCAAGGCCATAGCTTCTTGATCTAATATGTTCTGAAAGGTAACTCCTTCAGATCTGCTGTCAAAGTTAAATGATATTCAAAAGCGTTCAGTCTTTCGCCAACTCCAGAAAAGCAGATTTCTTCAGACTTCTGATTACCATTTCCCCACCTTCTTTAGAATGGTGAAAATTCAGAACTGAGTACAAAGATTTAAAATTATTTTTATGGCATGGTTATTTAATTGTGTATGTACAATCAGACATGCACATGTGTGTATGTGTATGCATGTGATTGTACATGCTATGGGACACATGTGGAGGTCAGAGAACAATTTGAAGGAATTGACTCTCTCCTTCCACCATGTGGATTCTAGGGATTGAACTCAGATTATCAGGCTTGGCTGAACCATCTCTCCAGCCTCCACTACTAAGTTTATAATTTTGAGTGTCAATTAAAACTTCAAGATGAGAATAAAACTACTTCCAAGTTATTAGACAGTTTGTAGGTGGGAAATATTTCTGATCCCATTCAGGAAAAAAGAAAAGGGTATAAGTCACTCCAGGTCCCTAAGCTGATTTCTCAATGCCCCTTGTACCTTCAACCTATAAGGAACATGGAATGGATCCTTTAAGAAAAGAAACAATTAAGGGGCCCTTTAAGAACTACAAATAATTCTAAGTGATTTGAGGAGTCTTGAAGAAAAGACAACAAAAAGCCTTCAGTATTGGATTAAATATTGAAATATTTTCCCCCTAGCATTTGCATTGATTTTTCAGCTTTGCATCAAAAAGAAAATCTGGCCTTGTAGACATTTAAGAGACTAGGGAATTTAATTTTCCACTTAATAAACTGACTTTATCCCCCACTGTAGGTACTTGAAATTAACACAAGCCCCAGTATACAATTCTAAAAGAGAACACCCACTGCACTATGAATGGTCTTGAAGCAAATAGTACTGTGGCAGCCAAATTCCTTGTCTCCAAATTTGTAAATTTGTCCCCTTTTTTCATAAGTCTTACTTAAGACAGTTCTGGAGCTTTTGCACATTTAACCTTTATACTTAGTAAGTGATTACAGAACACAGGAAACCTCATATTCAGACATTTGGACTAAAGTCCTTTACAAAAAATCTGATATTTATAATCAAATTATGATCATATTGAATATGAGAAATTAATTGCTGAATTAACAGAGGGAAGAAAATGCCTTGTTTTTAGTTTGTGGCTGTGCATCCTTTGATCACTCCTTAAAAATCATAAGGCAATTGTGAATCCTACAAGACCCAAAATTATTTGATACTATCTTTAGTTGACATGTTTGTTCCACAGTATTTGTCCAACTGTTCCTTATAATAAAACAACGTAGTAAAGTCTCATGCATTACTTCATTTAATTCTTAGCAAAACCCCGAGGTATAGTTGCTGTTAGAGTACTCTCATGGAAGATAAAGAAACAAGCTTAGAGTAAACTGCCTGTGGTCACAAAGGTGGTAATCAGCATAGGTTCTTCAGCCTTCAACTGGCATGGCAGCATAAAAGTAACACAGACAGACTTGCTTAATCATTCTTAAATAATTTCAATCAGGCCATGTATTAATAAGTAAAAGATGAAAACTTTTCCAATTATCAAACATGAGTTGTCAAGTGCCTCAAATTTTTGCTTACACCAGAGTAAATGCACCAGGCAATTCAGTGACCATATTCCAAATAAGAATATGTGGTACGTAATTAGTTCACATCTCTGAATTTGAGAAAAATGGTTACTTGCTTTTACAGAGGCTAGTTTTCCCACCTAACCTGTACTTCTGTCATGTTTTTATATGTACTTGCTACATAAATGGCTCTAAACTGCTAAGGAGTTTTACAGATATATAGAAAGAAGAGTAGTTCAACAAACTTTGACAAGTATAGAAATTTAACATTAAAATATCACTTTGCTTTTTTGTCCTGGGAGAATGAATTTAAAACACACACACATTTAAAATCAAGCATTAGATATGCAAATATGTGTTCAGATAGAGATACCAAAATTATTCAAATGATTAATTATTCATCATAAAATGTCAATTAATAATTATGAAGCTTAAAAGGCATCTTTCTAATGTATCTTTATTTTTCTTGGCCTAAAAAGGGCTTATTGTACTTGTTCAACTAACTTCTAACAAATTTTAAAATTTCAACAAAATAAACAAATTGTAAACAAGTGCAAGCTCTGAATTTTAAAGAGAACTACAAATGTGCTAAAAGTGTAGGATGGAACAATAATTGTAATTATCATGAAAGCAATAAATGTAGCCAATTCATGACATATGAAGCCTCATGTTCACTCACCTGCTAGGAAATGGACAGCAACCTGGCCAAGAGGACATTCCAGACACCCAAACTGTGAATTTGCTTAACAATTTACAAAACACCTGACATGCTTCTTATATATGAACTGCTCTGTCTGTGTTGGGGGCAGTCGGAGGGCATTAGGAGATTTTTACACTTTCCAACTAGTCATTTTTTAAAAACTGATTTATTTCTTTAAACTTACCTACTGTAATTTCTGAAGTCTGTTAAGCACTATTAAACTATCACTTATGAGTAAGAACACTTTTCATATTACCTTAATTCTAGTGACTTTCACTTTATCAAATACTTTTTATATTTTTCCAGGATGATTATATCTTCTTTAAAAATTATCTGTTAGAGCTAATATAATAATACAGAATAATAAGCCATTCCAGTCGCTGGTATATTAATTTATTTTCATTATTATTTTACTTTTCACTGACACCTGGCGAACTTGTAGTCTCTAAGACGGGGGAGTTATTTTAGTCAGGGTGTCCCTGACCTCCTGCTGGTAGATTAATTGCATATTAAACATTGGGTCTTCAAAACGAAATGATAAATCTAGACATAAAAAGGAGGCACCAAAAAATTACAAAGAGGGAAAAGAGGAAAGAAAGCGAGATTGCAAAAGGGATATAGAAAGAATGGAGCATGTAGGAAATGCAATTGCGAAAGAATTGCGAGAAAATATGGATAAAGGGCAGGGAGGATTGAAAGGAGGGCAAGAGGAAGGGAAGGAGGGACCTTTGGGTTTTTGATCCTGAGTCCGCGCCCTTAATGCCCAGCCTTCCAAGTTGAGGCGAAAGCCACCTCCTCGGGCCTGAGTCGCATCTAACTTATTCCAAGTTTTCTGGTGACTCCTACAGGGCCCCTTTCGGCCCACCCCCCTTTAGTGAGATTGACAGTCGCGTGGAGGAGGCTTTTCCAGGCACTGCCTTTCTCATGATAATCAGCGCCCTGCATCACCTCCCGGCCGCGGTTGCTCCCTCTCCGAGCGGTGCTCGCGGACCCGGGGGACCGGAAACAGGGCGGCGGGCGGGGAGCAGGCCTGCGAGCCAGGTCAGCTGACCGGGCGGCGGGGCGGGGGTCGTGCGGTGCTAGGGCGGCGGTGCCAGGGCGGAGACCCGTGTGCGCGGACCAAGGCGGCGGCCCGAGAGAGCCTCCCCCCCCCCCACGTGCTCCGTGATCCGCTGAAGAGACCCAAGCCTGCGGGGGAGGGGGCCGGGCGCGCCGGGAGTTGGGGACAGCAAGCAGACCTGTTTTGCATCAATAAATTAAGATGCTCATTTGGGTCCTGAAGTTTGCTGGTTCCTGTCAGTAGAGACGTTGGCAAAAAGCCCTGAAGCCGAAATTCAGCCTTTACTTTAAAAAAAATAAAATAAAATCCTCAGCTGGCCGCCCTGCTGGGGCCAGGTGACGTGCGAGATTCCACAGCCCGCGGGCCTCGCAGCAGGGATGTTAGGGACGGTCTGAGGCTCTCCGGTCCGGTTTTGGTGTTGTTTGAAACGGCCTCTCTGAGATGCTCCCTATTTCTTTTTTCTTTTTTTTTTTTTTTTTTTTTTTTTTTTTTTTTTTTATAATTTCCCCTCCTATCCTAGGCTCAACTCCGAAAGGATTGGATTGCGAATTTGCACGTGAGAAAACCGTTTGGCTTGGCTCGGACCCCTGCGGTCCCCCACCCCCTCCACACACTCAATACAGGGGTCCCGGGTATCAACCTTTGCTCGCAACTCCAAAAGAAGTTACCCACCTCCTGCATAGCAACACAGTACTGAAATAATTCCTCTGGATGAAAGATCAATTCTGTTTCTAAACGAGAATAGATTCCTTTTTTTTATTTTCTCCACATGGTACAAAATAAACACAGTTTGCTTTTTTTAAAAAATCATTAGCTGAGGCCAAATTCGAATTCCTTCTCCGGTCTGTGTGTTCAAGGGCAGAAACATGTACCTCTTTGGGCTTCTGGGCCGGCAAGAGGAGTGGGGGCGGGGGATGGAGGGAGGACTGTGAAAGTTGAGGAAATTGACAGACTGAGAGGTGAATGGGGGGACAGGCACCGGGTCCTGGCGGCCGGGAACTGGAAAACAAAAGGGTCTCTTCCTCACTCTGCCGGGGGCGGGGGGATTCCTGAGGACAGCAGTTTGTTTTACCCACGGAAACCCTCAAGAATTCTTTTCTCCTCCAATGTCGATTGAAATATTATTTCACATTTGCATGTATCTGTTGTTTTAATCCCCTTCGCCTGCGCTAATCTTGAAGTGGATTATTAACGGGGATGACAGAACGGGAAGGAGCGTTTTATTCTCAGGACTTGTTTTGCTGTGTGAGGAGCCTAAGGCGAGCTGTCCCTAGTCTTCTCTGGACTTTTCTCTTCGTCCTGCGTTCTCGTATCCTGCGGATCCCACAGTCCCCATTATCCCTGACCTGACCCTGGAACCAAGGGAGTGTTCCGAACAAATTTATATTCTGGTTTTCTGCGATCCCACTGCCTCTGTGTTGGTGGGAAACACTTTGGCCCAATGCTTGAGGAGGGGCGTGCCAGGCAGGGGCAGGGGACAGCCTAGACCAGCGCTCAGCCTTCGCGGAGGTCTTTCCCCGTGCCACCATCCAAACATCCACCTTCAGGGAAACCTAGAAAACTGGAGTTGGTTTTGTTTTGTTTTTTCTAAACCAAATACATGTCGAAACTCGGTGCTAACTGTTGGGGCTGCCTCCTGGCACTGGAGCGATGGCTGAGCCCAAGGTAATCAGATGATTAGGTGCTTTTAATGGAAATAGTTAATAGTCTTTTTTGTCAGATCTTAAGTAACAAGACATTTTATATTCATGATAAAGACAAGTGTTTTGCTAGCTATTTATTCGATTTGCCCTGTGGTTATATTATGCCTCAGCACTGGTGTGTCTGAGCTAAAAACCTACAGTGTTTACCTGGGTGCCTGGAGAAGGGTCTTGTCTGAAGTCACTCCATGCAATGGGTTCCTTACTCCTCTATCAGAGGAGAGGGAGGCTCAAAGAAACACTTTAGGAGAAAGCTGGTCTCTAATCTTTTTAAGAAAAAAGGAAGGGGGAGGAAGGAAAAGGGATATGAACAGTAGTGATAAATCTCAGAAGAGGAACTTGATAAGTCTTACATATATTCAGTACAGATATAAGATGGTATAAGAAATGTAAAATATAATACTAATGTGTTTGAGCCATGTTGAAAATCTTTTTCCTTATTAATTTTTACACTCAAAATCTCTACTACCTCCTATAGGTACCTTATCTGTGATAGGGGTAAGGAAGAAATCAATCTATCCAGCCATTCTAATTGTAATGATCAAATTAGGAGAAAGGTGAGTCTGTAACCAACTGTGAAAATCTGCTTTCTTGCATCCTAAAAAGAGTTCTTGCTGTGGTCATGCTGGGTGGCTATTCCCCTCCCCCTCCAGCCCCCCCCCCCGAAAAATAAACATACAAAATACAAGGCGGGGGAGCTCTGGGAGTGTGGATGTGGCAGCCCCTGTGGTGGCTTTCCCCTCCTTTGAGTGCAGTCACCAGTGACTCTTGCATTCAAAGTCTTGCTTTAGGCACACATTCAAAGCACAGTTCAAAGCAGTTTATCTTAATATGAGCAAAAGTCTAGTTCTGGATCAGGGTGTTATTTGTTTCAGATTTCTTCAGACTGCAAACAGGAGGCTGTGACGTATTTGACAGTATTAAAGCAGAAAAAAAATGATATGAGGCAGCTCTTTGGTCCTCTTCACACCTCCACCTTTACCTTTGCAAAGGAGCCCACAGGCTGAGGGGCTGGAAGCTCATCTCTGTGATTCTGTGCTCTGAGGTTCTCAAATACTTTCACTATTTAAAAGGGGGGTGGAGAGTCTCACAGTACTTTAAGAAACTGAGCTTGAACTGTTGGGGGCAAAGAATTTCTTCCTTTTCCGATAAATGCCTGTGCAGAGAGTCCTCAAATTTGGCTGTCTTTATTTACTTCCATATTAGTTCCAATTATGTGCAGTGTAAACCAGCTTTTTGATTAACAAAACAGCAGAGCATTGGTTAAGAACACTTAAACTTCAAAAAAATTCCCCTGGGAAGTGGGCTCTGAATTGGTTAATAATGTGCAGTACTTGCTAAATTGCTGACTTCCAGATGTGGAAAATATCTTTCTTGTTTAGGACCTATGTAACCTGATTGGATTACGACAGAAGCGTCACGTTGGAAGCTTTTGAGTGATTATTTAATTAACCATACAGTAGAAAGCTGTATTCTCCAGGAAATCCCTTCCATATTTGCATAACCAATCCCTTCAGAGCAAAGGTGGAGTCTTTCTTTTTCATTTTACTTTAATTGCAATATCAAAAAATATATACTCCAAAACTTAGACCCCATGCGGTTTGATATTGTTCTCTCCCTTCCTTCCTAGGCTCTTCTGTGGCCTTTCTCCTTTTTCCTCCTGCCTCCCCATTCACCCTCACTTTGTTGTGAGGTCTTCCTGAGAAGTAGAGAGATCCACAGATTGATCAACCCAGTGCTCTATGTTAATTTAGAGACCCTTTATTAAAATGCAAAGTACTTTTAATGTAGGGATCCAGTTCAGAAAATCACACACACACACACACACACACACACACACACACACACACACTAAGATGCAGTTCACAAGTAAGATTCTCCTACCCTACCTCTGACATCTAAAAAATAATAGTAAGAGAAAGGGCAAGAATTTAGTTCCAAAAAACAGTGCTGAGGTATCCAGACAACTTGATGTGTGCCTCAAACCTAGTAATTAGAGGTATCTATATAAGAAGAGCGATCTGGATTGAGCACCCGGGATCTTTCCCTTTAACTTTCGCCCCTTGGAGTTCTCCAGTTCTGTGAATGGTGTGCACCGCTTTCCGCCCAGTACTCTGCAGGATTTAGTGATGAGGATAATGATGCCAAAGGCTGGGGGGTGGGGGGGGCGTGGAGAAGGGAGGGAGGGAGGCGAGAGGGAGAGAGAGAGGAAGGGAGGGAGGTGGAATTTCATTTCTTCCACTAAAGCGTTTGCGGAGACTTCAAGGTATAATCTATCCCAGATCCTTTCCCAGAGAGAAACTTGGCGATCACGTTTTCACATGATGCTCACGCTCAGGGCGCTTCAATTATCCCTCCCCACAAAGATAGGTGGCGCGTGTTTCAGGGTCTCTCTTCTCTCCCCTACAGAAAAGAAAAAGAAAAAAATGTCATTAGAAGAGGCGTAACACGTCAGTCCGTCCCCAGGTTTGTGTTTCCTGGAGTGGCCGAAAAGAGATCAGTTCTAACCTGCTCCGCAGGAATAACGGTCCTGCCTCCCGATACTCTTGGCGAGGTTTTGTACAGTTCGCTCCCGGAGCTGTTTCTTCGCTTCCACCTTTTTCTTCCCCACACTTCGCGGCTTCTTCATGCTTTTTCTTCTCACCATTTCTGGCCAAAGCTACAAACAAGACTTCGCAGGTAGGTTTCCCCCTCCCTTTTTTTCTCTTTTTTATCCTTTTTTGGTGTGCTCGTCCCCCATCCTTCTTTTCTAATTTTCTTATTTTGAGTGGGGATGGGAATCTGAAGTAAGCCGGGTGTCTGTGGGCAGGAATTTCAGGTGGGTTTAGCTCCTTGGTGGCAGGCTTTCCCCAAGAGTGGCTTCCCCGCTGTCTTTTGCTCCCTCTTACTCTCTTTCCTCTTCCTTCCCCCCACCCCAATAATTTGACCTGTACCTGTCCATTCAGGTAACCAAAGGTACCTTTTGCTACATAGCCTAGGAAAAGTTTTATTGAGAACTGTATGGCTGGAATCAAAACTCATTAAGTGGAGAGCTTCCGCTCTGTTTTCACCTCGAGTTCCAATTCATTACATCCAGCAATTAAAACTTGGGAAATACCTGTTAATAATTATAAAACTTATTTAAGACAGACCTACCAAATTCGGGGGCAAGTCCCTCTTTTAAGACATGGCAGTCTAGCCTCTCCCACCAGAGAAGGCTGTTTTCTAAGCAGAAAGTTGCCTGTTTTTGTCTGCTTAGCGAGTTTCATTTCTTTATTTCATTCTTTGTGTGTGTGTGTGTGTGTGTGTGTGTGTGTGTGTGTGAAGTAACACCTCACTTCTGTGATTATAAATAAAGAAGTGAAAGTCCTCATGGAACTTGAGTCGTTTACCAGAGGGGGGGGGTCACTACAGCTGGGAAGAGTGCTGTCAGGATATCAGAGTTTAAAATTAGGATAACTTTGAAATTGTATTTTAAATGGCCAAGTAAGACAGGCATAAATTTCATAGCTCTCTCTCTCTCTCTCTCTCTCTCTCTCTCTCTCTCTCTCTCTCTCTCTCCCCCTCTCTCTCCATTCTAGACTTTGGGACTGAAAAGTTGAGAGAGACAGAGAGAGAAAATTTACAGAGACAGTGGTGAGTCTAGCTATCATAAATGTATTTATCTCCCACCTATTTATATATTTTACATGCTATCCCTATAATGATGAGGGCAAGATTATTTATTCCAGAGTTAGAAATAACAGTCACAGATAAAGTTTACAGCAAGATGCCTTGTCTCTCCCTCATGTACTGGGTCATAAAACAGGCAACTTACTTTATTAAATATGTATTTATTTGTAGTGGTGTGTAAGTCTCAGCAGAAATATAGACAGGCCAGCTGTTTCATTCCAGACAATTGTGTGATCATGTCTTTATTTCAGAATTTCCCCCAACGATTTCAAATCAGAAAGACAGGCAAGAAATGACAAACAAAAATGTGTCAGACTTGAAAGTCTACTCTGTATGCCTAGGTAAATGTAAAGTGCTTTCTAAACAATCCACTTCCCCTTCTCTCTGCCCCCCTTCACTCCATCAGCAAAAGTGTGGAAACTGATACTCACTTTCCAGGTTTTCCGCAAAGCTTGTAGCACGGGAGACAATAGGTGCGGGGCATAGGGACTGGGCGTGCTGGGCGGCAGAGAAGGGGTTAATGGCCCTTGTGTTACAGTTTGCATCTGTTACATCTTTTATAACCCCCCTGTTTAAACTAATCCTCGAGGCACAGCATCTTCCCAACCCCACGGAGTTTAAGGATTCTCCTCTGGTCCTGCCTGCCTCCGAGGTTCCCCTTCTCCAAGTTTTGACAGTTTCTGCCTGAAAAAATGCAGCGCCTCCCTCGATTTTTAGGTACAAAAGTTTCAAAGCCAAAAAGGATACGATCATTTAGTGCAGCTTAAAAGTATTGCCGTAGTGGTTGGACTTTCTCTTTCCTTCTTGAGAGGAAAAAAATTCTACTGAAAGAATTTAAGGGAACCAGTGTGGGGGAGTATGTGTGTGAGTGGGGGGTGGGGGATACTTAAGTAAATATTGTCAAAGTGGCGGGGGGGG